TGGTTGTTGGTCAGACAAACAAGACATATGAAGTTGTTCCTTTAATGGATTCATAAAAAAAATATGTAGTAATGATCAAGTGGCTGCCACGAGGAGATCTGGATTTGAGTCATTTAATCAGTCCCGGGTAGCAGCAGGAAAACTACCCTTGAACCCCCTTAGGTGTGGAGCTACCTCAGCTTCAGTCTGTCAGCTCTTTACAGAAAACAGACATTATATATTTATCCATATTTTTCTGTGAGTTCAGCTGTTGCAGAAACACACTAATTTATCTCTAATGTGAGTCCCAGCCGTCCCTTTCGTGTTTTATCCATCAAATCCCCAAAAAACCTCTTCAAGCGGCAGTGAAAAACTCCCCCTGAACTCCCCCAGGTGGCGAACTGCTCAGAAAAACTACATCTGAGCTGAGAAAAGTGTGTCCACATGTGAGCGATGGGATGAAAGTGTTTGTATGAGATGTCCTCCCACAGCTGCTCCAACTGTTGACCTCTGAAAGTAGAGGCGAGTAATGGAGGGAAGACAGAGGGGAACCTGGGGGAGGAGAAGTCATTCTCTGGTCATCCATCCCAAGAATCAGCCCCCCTGACTGTCTCAAACCTCGATCCCGCTCGCCTGGACTTCCTCTCAGAGCTCAGTCCCTCTGCAGCTCACAGCTTGTCTACACTTTACCATCGCTTGGCCTGTTTGGATTGGACGTCATCGTTTGCTGCCTCTGTCTTGAGCTGCATGACACAGATATCACGTTTCTTGTGTCTTCATTTATTTTTTTGCACTTAAAAAAATAAAAAATATTTAAACAAGCACAGAACTTTCTGCAGCCCCACAGGGCAGCTGTGGTGACAAACATTAACAAAATAATGATCCGTTTATTTGAGTGTTCTTCAGCTCTGTGGACGATCGGTGGTCTTCAGCATGACCCATGTTCATGTGAACTTAACAGCTCCTGTCATATGGGGGCTGATTATCAGTCCCACGACATACAGAGGACATATGGGTGTATTAAGAGAACTGGATATGACGACGCCACTCAACTTTGCTACTAGTTTGTCCTCATGGACAGATAGATTATATAATATATATATATATATATATATATATAGGAGTCTACTTGTAAAACCAGAGAAAATGTATTTTAATGTAAATCCCAATGAGAATGACCAGCAGTAGAAACACCAATGAGCATGTGCAGTTGACCACACAGCGTGGAAGCTAGAAGACTTTTTTGGCTAATGCGGGTTGGCAAGCATCTATAACATCTATAACATCTATAACATCTATAACACTGTCTATAACACTGTCTATAGCACTGTCTATAACACTGTCTATAGCACTGTCTATAACACTGTCTATAGCACTGTCTATAGCACTGTCTATAACACTGTCTATAGCACTGTCTATAACACTGTCTATAGCACTGTCTTTAGTCTTTAGTAACAGGATCCGACTGTATTGTACTGTAATTCTATTCCCCACTGTGATTTTAACTGAATATCAAGAAAATCTGCAAATGAATGCATGTTTGCATCCACTACTGTTTTGCAGTTATTAGGAATTGGATTGTCAGGATAAACAGTGGATGGCGGTAATGCTCCAGTCAGGTTTTATTAAACCACTGCAGAGGAAGAGGGTGCAACAAGACGATGTATTTAAATGAGTGCCAGTCAAACCAGCAGAAAACAGTAGTGGCACATGGTGGAACTACGGTTACTGTTTTTAAGTGGAGGAACATTACAGTCTTATCATCACACCAAACAGATCTGATGCTTTTGTCTCTTCAGTGGAAGCTTCAGTGCACATTTAAGTCACATGCTTCATGTACGTCTTGATTGATTCACTCCGTTTGTTGCTTTGTACACTGTCCCATTTTGCTTTTATCAGTACACCAACTTTTCCACCTCAGCAAAAACAAAAAACTTTCCTGCAGTTATTTTAGACTGAAGAAGACAAACTCTTTGAACCTTTTTGTCCTCTGCTGTTTGCCATGATGGTGTCAGCTGTCGCTGCTGGAAGATTCATGATGTAACTGTAAAATATCTGCTGCAGGGTACTTAGTTTTTGTAGCTTTTCTCTTCCACCCCTTCCTCCATAACCCCCCACCCCCGGCGAGGCCTCAGTATCACCTCGTCCTCTAATTGTTTCAGGACTCGGCCTCAGATTGTCCTTGGCAGCGGGCACTAGAGAAAATGTTTAGCATGTTTGTTTTTCTAGTAATTAGCCTTAAAACGGCCTGTAATGCAGACTGCTAATGGTCCACAGAGAGCTGAGCCTGTGTCAACACACCGTGTGTGTGTGTGTGTGTGTGTGTGTGTGTGTGTGTGTGTGTGTGTGTGTGTGTGTGTGTGTGTGTGTGTGTGTGTGTGTGTGTGTGTGTGTGTGTGTGTGTGTGTGTGTGTGGAGAGAGAGAATGATGTGAATGATGTGTTCATGAGAGATTGTGTGTGTTTTCATGTGTGTCTGTGAATGTGTGTTTTTTCTGTTAGGAGGTGAGGTGATCAGGCGTGTGAAAATGGAAGCTTTCAGTCATGGTGTGTGTGTGTGTGTGTGTGTGTGTGTGTGTGCACGCCGTGTGAATGTGTGAGTCAGGCGGTAATGTGAAAATGTTAGTTTTCCCATCCAGAATCAGCCGGCTGGTCGTTCTGCTCTGTATCACCACAGACAGATTCCAGCTTCTCAAATCACCTTCCCACTGCCTTCAGTCTGCTGGTTGGCATGTTTTCTATTTTTGCCCCGTTAGCAAAGCAGCTGACAGATGGTCTGTTAGCTGGTCGATCTGTTCAACACGTTGGTCCATGAGAAGATATTTAAATAATTGATTAATAGGTTAAAATAGGGTTGGCCCTGACTCAATGATTTTCCTAGTCGACTAGTAGTTGTTTAATAAAGCCAGTATTCGACTAGTCGTTGCACGTTTGTGATATTAATTTATATACATATATAATGCCTATGACTCTTCCTTGGAACACTTTGATAGGTGCTGACCACTGCAGGCTGGGAACATTGAAACATATTCAGTTGCTTCCTAATATATCCCACCCACTGACAGGTGCCATGATAATCAGTGTTATTCACCTGTCAGTGCTCACAATGTTATGGCTGATTGCTGTGTGTGTATATATATATATATTAACAGCAGCCTGTTAAGTGATAATGGAAAATCCGGTAATGATTCTAAATGTGTCAGAACAACCAACAAGGAGTCTGAACATTTAGTTCATCTATTTCAACACAGTATAACATCACACAAGCCTCATTGTTCAAAACACTGATAAAACAACAAAGCAAGGGTTGTGTGTTTTTGCTGTTCAAAGACACCAAGAGTGCTCATGACTGATGAGTGTCAGTTAGGAGAACCAAATCTAGTGTTAGCTGCCTGAGCATGTCACTTTGTAGACCTGTACGTTGTAGCGAGAAAGCAGCTGAGTGCTGATAGACATTTTGAGATAATCAGCATCTGCTGATGTTTGTTGTGCTCACGAAGCCGATAAACAAAAAATGTCTTCAGGCACATCTGCAGGCAGCCTTGTCAGTGAGGCTGCTGTGGAAAGATGGTGAAAAAGTCACACATCCTGCTGTACATATACACCCGACTTTCCTGTAGAATACAATTATACATGGCCTTTCTTTGTTTTGATATCAGCATTAAATATCGGCCATCGTTCAGTATCAGCCAGTGAAAAACCCATATCAGTCGACCACTACAGTTGAGTACTGACCACTAACCGCTAATACTATCAGATGGGAAACAATAGTGAAGATTCCTTAGTTATGAAGCGCTTTAAGTAAATCACATGAATATTTGGATCACTTTTATCATTATCATTACACATTCAGTTCAGCTTCTCTGTGAAACTATAATGTTAGCTCACATAACCTTATGGTAGTGTGGTTCGGTTGATACTACAATGATTAGTTGGTTAATCACTTGAAAGAAAATTAATCTGCCACTACTTTGATAACAGCATTAACTGTTGAGGTCATTTTTCAAACAGAAATGCCAAACATTTGATGCTTCCAGGTTCTCATATGTGAGAATTTTCTGCTTTTCTTGGTCTACCATGACAGTAAGGAATATCTTTGTGTTTTGGAATGTTGCTTGATAAAAATAAGACATTTAATGACATCACCTTGTGTGATGTTTTTTTTCCCCTATGGTTTCTGATGTTTTTATATATATATATATATATATAAAAAAAAGACAGGCCAGGCTGCATTCAGGCATTAGCTGTGTTGGAGCAGGACCCTCAGCAGGACTCAGTGTAGTCTTAAGGCAGATTTTCCCAGCAGGTTATTGGATGTAAACCTGCAAACTTTAAATTGTATCCCTTTTGATTTATAATCAAACATTAGTGTTTTTGTTTTCACTGCTAAGACTGTTTCCTTGATTTATTAGCGTGCAGCTGTAAGCCAGTAGACAGAGCCCAGATTGGTATTCTGGGTAATTTTGGGAAGTCTGGTCGGTCTGAGCTGGAGTCCGGAGCAGCTGAGAGAAATACGACTTTAGGACGTTTTTATGAAGTTTTCTTTCTGTTCTCATCGTGTTGGTGTTGGTCTACGTGTGAATTCTTCAAGTCCTGCAGCTTTTTTCTCAGGGAGCTTTTATGAAAATGTGAAACCAGACAAATTTATCACCAACTGCACTCTGTGTAATGAGGAAAAACAGTTTCTTGGCATCTAAACGTACACATTTCAGCACCGGGGTCAGAGGTTTATTTTTAAATATTCTCAGTTCAGATTGGATCTGTAGACCAGTGCGAGATGTCAGGGCTCAAATCAGATTCAAGCTTTGAACATCAAACATGTTTGAAATGATTGAGATGAGAATGAGGCAACATATTGAAGTCTTGAACTCTCACACAATAAGAACATCTGTAACGAACACTAAACTCAGCCTGAAAACCAAAAGTTAAAGTTTCTTCCATATTCTGTGTGTGCTTGTGTGTGCTTGTGTGTGTGTGTGTGTGTGCGTGTGTGTGTGCGTGTGTGTGTGTGCGTGTGCGCAGCGGGAGCAGGAAAATGCTATGACTCGTCTGAAGAAGCAGCAGGCGGAGCTTGAGGCCATGAGGCTGCGTTACCTAGCAACAGAGCAGAAGGAAGCAGTCCAACAGGACAGACAGGAGCTGGACAACATCAGGAACGAACTCAACAGGTGAGGAAACGATCTCAGCTCATCCAGTTTTATAGAAGCTACATTTTCACACCTGTTCACACACAGATTTACAGCAGTAGAAATTAAATGAGGAAATGTTTACATTTTACTAGAAACATTCATAACCACGAATGAGACAAAGAGACCGGAGATAATAATAATAATAATTAAAAACAATAATAATAATAACGTTTGGCTTTGGCATGTTTGAAACTAGCAAACACACTGTGGTTGCAGCTTCTCATTTCAAGATGTAAAGCTTTTCCATTGTACAGACTAAATGGGAATAATCTGAAGATTAATCTATGATGAAATTAATTGTTGCAGCAACATATCAACATGCTTTCTGTGATATATTATCTTATTATGTTTACATTATTATGACAAAATGCTAAATATTAGCGAGCCGAACATGAACAGGGAACATCAGAGGTGCAGCCCATCAGGAGCGCTGCCACCATGCTGAGACAGCATTCAGCTGAGTCTCACAGTCCAGCTTAAATCTGAGACAACTCCACCACGTAGAGCTGAGTCCGACATGTCCTAAAAGGGACACTGTACAAAGCATAAACATTTAGCACGCACAGTGTTTAGATATGTTGAGTAGGTGACAAATAAAACCTTGAAACTAGCATGTCTGCTAATGTTAGCATTTCACTCACAGCACAACATTAAGAACCTAACAACATGCTAACATATGTAGTGAGTGTTTAACAGTTAACATTTAGTAATGGAAGCATATTAACACATTATGTCACAGCTAATGCTACAGAATAATCTTACCTTCAGATTCCTTTAATGTGTTCTCTATTTTAATTCACTATGTCTCACTTAAAAGTCTTGACATAATCTGGTTGGTTGTTTCAGATAATAAAGACGAGGTTTTTGATATTTTCTCTCACAGATTAAAGCAGCAGGAGGACAGATTAGGCCCCGCCCACCCTCAAAGCGTGAATGAGAGCGCTGACGAACACCTGAGCCGCCTGTTAGAGGAGAGAGACACTCTGCTGAGGACCGGAGTTTACACCCACGAAGACCGAATCATCGCTGAGCTCAACAGACAGATACAGGACGCCATGAGCGGCAGAGGGGATCTCTGACAGCTCCTGGAATCGGCCAATCAGAGACAAGAGTCACACCCGAGACTGCAGGTAAACCAGCTGTTAGCACGGGAGCTCTGAGGCGGTTTACACTTCTGTTTCAGGTTGTTATTCACCCACTGTGGTTGCCTTCACACAGAAATGCCCAGCGGCACATTTTTATTTACATCTAGAGGAGAATTATTACATTATCAGAAATGTGATTCCTGAGTTAATGTCTAAAATGTGAATGTTTGTTTGTTTGTTTGTGGATTTAAATATTTATGTTTGTGTGAAGGAGGTTTCAGAGGAGATTCATTAATTGCTGAACAAATCAGATGCTCTTTTGATGTCTTTTTATATCAGTGTTATTTTATGTTTGGTGCCATTTTAATAATCCTCAGCCAACATCTTTAACACTAGAACTACCAAAGTTTACTTTTTAAATTTTTCAGTGTAATAATTTTTTAAAAAAAAAAAAATGTGGGTGTAGGTCTTTTTCTAAAAAAAGGTAAATTTATTTACCATTTTTTTTTTTAAAAAAAAAAAAAAAAAAAAAAATAACAAAATTTCTACCAAAAAAAAAAAAGACCAAATTTAAAACAAAAAAAAAAAAAAAAAAAAAAAAAAAATAAAAAACCCCCCCCCCCCTATAATAGTAAACCCCCCCCCCCAAAAAAAAAAAACCTTTTCTTTTTTTTTTTTTAAATTTAAAAATTTTAAATTTAAAATTAAAAAAAAAAAAAAAAAAAAAAAAAAAAAAACAAAAAAACAAAGCTAACCCAGAGGGGCGAAACCAAAAGAAGAAAAAGTAAAAAAGAAAAAAAAAAAAGAAAAAAGACCCTTTTCCCTTGACCCCTTTACCACCCCTTAAAATAATAAAAAAAAAAAAAAAAAAAAAAATTAAAAAAAAAAAAAAAAAAAAAAACCCCCCAAAAACCCCACCACTTTTAAATTATATTTTATTATTTTTTTTTTTTATATTTAAAAAAAAAAAAAAAAATAATAAAAAATAAAAAAAAAAAAAAAAATAAAAAAAAATAAAAAATTTAAAAAAATATAAATAATAAAAAACATATAAAAAAAAAAATTAAAAATTAAAATACCTTTTTTTTCCCCCCCCCCCCCCCCCCCCCCCCCCCCCCCCCCCCCCCCCCCCCCCCCCCCCCTTTTTTAATTTTTCCCCCCCTTTTTTTTTTTTTTATTATTATTAATAAAAAAAATAAAAAAAAAAAAAAAAAAAAAAAAAAAAAAAAAAATAAAAAAAAAAAAAAAAAAAAAAAAATAAAAAAAAAAAAAAAAAAAAATTTTTTTTTTTTTTTTTTAAAAAAAAAAAAAAAAAAAATTATTCAAAAAAAAACCAAACCAAAAAAAAAAAAAAAAACACCCCAAAAAAAAAAAAAACCAAAAAAAAACCCAAAAAACGAAAAAAAGGAAAAAAGGGAAAAAAAAAAAAAGGGTAAAAAAAAAAGAAAAAGAAAAAAAAAAAAAAAAAAAAAAAAAAAAAAAAAAAAAAAAAACCCCCCAAACCCAAAAAAAAAAAAAAAAAAATTTAAATTTTTAATTTTTTTTATATTAAAAAAAATAAAAAAAAAAAAAAAAACACCAACCCCCCCACGCCAAAAAAAAAAAAAAAAAAAAAAAAAAAAAAAAAAAAAAAAAAAAAAAAAAAAAAAAAATTAAAATATTTAAAATAAAAAAAGGAAAAAAGAAAGAAAAAAAAAGAAACCGAGTGTTTTTTTAAAGAGACCATGTCCCAAAAAAGGTTTTAAAAAAAAAAAAAAATCCTCCCTTTTTACAAAAAAAAAACTCCACCCCCCCGCTGAAGAAAAAGTTTGCTTTGATGAGTGATGTTTGGGACAGATTTGTCCAAAACTGTCGTTTGCTACAAGCCGGTGCAGACATCACTGTGGATGAGCAGCTATTCCCGACAAAGTCAAGGTGCAGCTTCATGCAGTATATTGCAAACAAACCGGACAAATTCGGAATAAAATTCTGGCTTGCTGCGGATGTCGACACCAAATACATGGTAAACGGCGCGCCTTATCTGGGAAAGAAGGGGGAGGCCAGGTCAACGACTTGGAGACAGTGTGGTGCTAAAAATGGTCGAGCCATACCTGGGGGAAGAAAAAAAAACGTAACACCGACAATTTCTTTACTTCATTTGAACTGCAAGTCCCCGTGCGTAAAGGCGCAAGGCCGCTGTTCTGCACAGAGGTGCTGAAAAGTGGAGATGCAACACTGACCGTGTATCAGTGCAAAGAAAAAGAATGTCTGCATCCTCAGCACTGTCCACACAGCTGTTGGCATCACAAGTGGCCACAAAAGCAAGCCAGAGACGGTCCGTACTATAACAAGACCAAGGTAGGGTAGACGTCCTGGATCAAATGGCCAGAAAATACTCTGTGAAAACACCCCCCCCAAAAGGGCCAAAAACGCGTTTTTTAAAAAAACAAACCCCCGGCAAAAAAACAAAAAAAAAAAAAAAAAAAAAAAAAAAAAAAAAAAAAAAAAAGGGGGGGGGTTCCTCCTGTGAATACTGGCGGTGAACCGCTCCGACCACATCAGCTCAAAGCCACACAACTGGTGGTGCGAGAGCCAGGACCCGGGCAGGAGCAGCAGCAGATGGAGAGAAGAAGGCAGTGCCAAGTAAGGAGGAACTGCAAAAAATAAAACCAAGGAGACATGTGCCAAATGTCACAAAGTAGTGTGTGGAAGCTGCACACGAAGGCGGTGTTTACCTGTGTGGACTGTGCGTAGCGTCAGTGAATGATGCTGGGTGTTTGGCCGTTCAAATGAGCCACTTGGAGGAAAACGTGTTTATCTGATTTTGTTCATTATTACTAATCGTTCTAAAGCAGTTCGTTTTCTTGTTTAGCTAATGTTCATGTTTTTTGAGCCTGTTTTTGTGTGTACTAGATTGCGTTGCATACGTGTCCCTGAAAGTTTTACAATGTATTCAAATGTATATATGTAATGTTTTTGTTATTGTATATATGTTAGAAGTTATTGTATCATAAGATTTGTTTTTTTTTTTAAAAAAAAAATTTTTAATTTTGCTGGAAAATAATTTTACATTGATTTAAATTTAAATTTTTTGTCCTGATATTTATTATAACCTATCGTAAAATTTTAAAAAAAAATATTTTTTAAATTTTTTTTTAATTTTTAAAATTTTTAAAAAAAGGGGGTAAAAAAAAGAAAAAAAAATATAAATTTTCATTATTTTTTTTTTTTTTTTTTCCCCGCTGTTCTGTGCGGTAAAAAAAATTTTGATTTTGGATGACGTCATAACATGACAACAGGAATTAAAAACTTCATTGGAAAAACTTAAAGAGAAGGTTAAAATGTAGATATGATATAAAAAAAAAAAACTTTAAAGCCGCAATAAGAGCAAAAAAAAAAGAAAAGAAAAAAAAAACACTTTTTTTTTTTAGTTATAGATTCTGGTAGTTCTAGTGTTAAGGAAAAGTTGACTTTCTATAGACACGCCCCCCGGAAAAAATTCCCCCCCCCCTCCCTACGGGGAGATTTTTCTGTGGAAAACATCTATCACAGCCAGAATGGAGAGGAGGAACAATTACAGTTACATAACTGTCAGTGTACACTGGCACATTGAGTATTGCATTAAAATGGACTTAGACTTAAAACTAGTTTTACATGTCTGAACCTTAAAACTACAACTACCAACGACACCATGCCCTTTTTAGATGTTCTTCTTCTTTCAGTTCGTTTTGTGAGCGTGCTCCTGTTGATGCATTCAAGGTGCTCTGACATCTTAGAAGCCACACGATCCCCCACACCGTCACTGGTTCCAGCTTCTCAAACGCTGCTGCTTCTGTGATCGTAAAGATTTTTGGGCTGCTGATCAGACAAATCAGCAGCACAGCTGTTTGAAAGATATCCAACAGAACATCACCAAGGAGACGAAACAATAATTTAACTTTCACAAAAACTCTGAAACAGATTAAATATTGACTGTGCTGAATAATCCCTTTATCATGTTTCACAGAAATGAAGTGAAACCAGTTTCATTAGAAAAATGCTGTGTAACCAGTTGTTCCTTTAATAAGATCATCAGGGAACTCCCATGTGCAGCATTACTGAACCTGAATCAGACCTGTTGTTAGGTTATTGGAGGATGTGGTGATGAGTTCATGTACAGTCTGTAAAGTGTTAATGATGTGTGTTCTGACAGCAGGTGGCGCTGCAGCCTCAGAAAAGCCTCCAAACAGTCCTCTGACCTGCAGACGCTCTGACACATTAATTTATTTTTTATCATCAGAGACGACTCTGATTCCTGTTTGTCTGCAATAAATTATTTTCAAATAACATTTGTTGTGTAATTGTTGTTTATATTTTTATATTTACTAATGAAGAATTGTAAAATATTTCTGCTTTATTTAAACAAGCCACTAGAGAGGTGTTTACCCCAGTTAGACGAAGATGAATTCATTTCTAGAGCTGAATATTAATGATATTTAAATCATTAATTAAATTCAGACAACATCTGTTTGTTCCTCAGCAAATGAAACCGATTCAGCCCGGACCCTCGCTTATGATGGGTACTGCACATATAAATATGAACTGATATAAGACACAAATCTCTCAATATTTGAAATATTGATCACTGCTTGGTGGAGTAGTATACATACATGTACATATTTCTGATTCAAACAAACACATTCTAAGATTTATTAAACACTTGCACTTTCCTAAATGTAAAACCTTTTGCTTTTGCAGACTGCATCATTTCCCAACAGATTTCAGCTCCTTTGGCGAAATAAGTACAGAAATATTACCAGCAACATGTACTGTGAAGTATCAAATGTATCCATTAAGCAGGACGGCCCTGCAGTTTAACTCCATATTATTGGTTCAGAATTGATTACAATGGATGATTACTGATGTGTTAGCAGCTCATTTGAACTACTTTGTGTACTTTTTGGTATTTTAATATATAACAATGGTTCATTTTACAAGCTGATATGTTTTGTGTGTAGATTCTGTAAAAAGAGCTGCATGTAGAGGGAGAAAGTATTAGAATAAAATACTCAAGTAATGTACAGAGTACTTACATTCCCTAACTTCACACATGCAAAAAACAGTTTCTTGAACACGCAAAAAGTGCAATGTGTGTAATAAATAAAATAATAATTACATTTGAAACATGACTTTGGAATAAAAGCCAATATCTTAATGAAAAGTAAAAAGCTGAGTCAACGTGGGGTGCAGTAGAGAGAGAGTGAACGTACAGAGCGAACAGAATCCGCTGGAGGTCGACTGCAGACAGACGACACGTGTTATCACATGTAGAACAACATGTTAACACACACTGATGCCTCTGTGTGTGTGTGTGTGTGTGTGTGTGTTGACATCTGGGTCCTCAGTGCTGACGGTGAGCAGATGTTCCCAGCTCATCCATCTGCTGTGAGGAGGAGGAGGAGGAGGAGGAGGAGAGGAAGATAAGAGAGCAGAAGAAGAAATGTGATGTTGAGGTTTAAAGTGAAATGTTTCTCTAATATCTTATCAACTGTGTGTTTTATCTCCAATTCTAGCTTTTAAAACTCGCTTTGACTGAATCCAACACAGTTCGAGCACACACACACACACACACACACACTTTTATACTCACAGGAAGATGTTGCAACATTTCTGAAATAAAAAACAAACAAATCTATTTTCAGGAAAAGGCCAAACAATCTCACCTCGAGGTCTATTTAGCAGCAGTTCTGGAGCTTTTGAACGTATCACATGATCTTCCTCAGCAGATGGAGTTACCTTAGTTGTGGAAACCAGAGGTTCAAATTGACTTTTTTTCTTTTCTTCTATCGTCTGTAGCTGTGTGTGTAAGTGTGTGTTTGTGTGTGTGCGTGGGACATCTGATCTGAGGTCTGTGGCTGTGTTCACTCTGATGATCAAACAGACGTCATCACCTTTAAAACGACAAAAACAAACCTATTGAGCCCCGTATCAACAAACACTGAACAACAAACGGAACATATGTCGGAATGAATAAGAACTCCTAAACATATACAGAGTAATGACATCATTGTGTCGAACTGGAAAGGAGCCAATGTGTAAATATTATGTATTAATAATTAAGTGTTTATTTCTTACCAACAGTAAACATTAAAGTCACATTTGAGGTATTCAAGGACACACAGCAGCTGTAAAGTGAACAAAATATTACAACAAGATGCTGATGGAGGAAGTGGAGCTGCTTTAACCACGGAGGTCTGATTACATTTAATAATAACTGAATCAGTCAGTTTAAAGAAACGTTAGAAACACGTTTGACGACACTAAGGTCGGATATTGGACATGTTGCTATCAATTACTTATAAATCTGACAAAAAGTGGTTTTATTGAGAGAAAGTAAAAACCTGTTTCTAATATAAAACAGATGAAATATTACTGCGCTGTTGTGTTTCTGCTCACTTCATCAGGATTAGGACTTCAGTGTGAACGCGGAGGAGCTGTTTGATCTGTCGTCGGTGCTGCAGGTTAAATAAAGTTCACTTCAGATCTGTGCTGCCTTTCACTGTTGATACAGTAAACACATGACACTGTGGGGTGGACCCAATTTCCCACAATTCCTTTTGTCACTCATCAGAGGACGTCTAAACACACACACACACACACACTGTACACGTTTCACACCAGCACTAAGATGATAACTGTAAACCATCAAATGCTTCCCGTCAAAACAAGAGAAAACAGAACGGGATATAAATGAATGAAAACAAAGATTAATGAGAATAAGTTTAATACTCTGAAAGAATGTCACCTGTTTGGGCCTCGAACAGTTATTGTAATATTTGAGATGTTTAGTGGTGAAGTGAAATCTGAAACAGGACGAGGAGCCACAACTCTTCAGCAGCGTGTTGTGTTTTATGAGCTTATCGTATTTTTTATGTCAAATTTTTATGTGTAAAGCAGCCGGGACCGGAGGCTGTCAGACACATGTAGGGGAGCAACAAGTGCAAGGTCTGTCTGAGATGAAGTGGAATAACAGAACGGAAATACTCAAACAATGTGCAAGTATACATACTCAGTTACCTCCCACCACTGTGCGCACATACACACACACACACACACACACGTTTTAAGTCGTGGTCGGGGTAACAGCAGGCAGATTTTCTCACAGTGAAACTTTCCCACTTTTCTCCTCCAACATGTTTCCAATTAAAACTAAAAAAAACTCCACAGCTTCATGTCTAATTGGTTTTGAAAGTGCGACCTCTCGTCTGCTTAATATTTTCCCCTCTGACAGGAAATTCCACCAAAAGCAAACCATTACACCCATTACACACACACACACAAACACACACACACACACACACACACACACTTTACTGATACCTGACTAAGACTGTTGTTCTCTTTATCATCCTGTTCTCTTGCAGCTGACACAAGTTTTTGGAGAATGTCTCCTTTCCCTCCTTTTCATCTCAGCAGGAAATATTGTACTTTTTATTTTTATCTGACAAATGAAGTTACAAGTTACTGTTTAGATTCAGGTTTTATGTACAATGTGAGACAAATATGATACAATGTTTGTTTTTAAAACAATGGACCAACTCATAGCGACAAACCCACAAAGAATTATCACCTGACCCTGCAGTTTTAGGCTCTTTCAGCTTGTTTTGGTTTTCTGACCCGCAGCTTTCACTCTCATCATCATCCTCAGCAGGCGGCTGTTCTTAAAGAGGAAGCTTTAAAAACCACCTCCCAGCATCCAACAGCAGACGGACACCGTTAAGAGACGAGCTGGTGAACATTTAGCAGCTAAAGAGACAGATATTTCCCTCAGGAGTCGGTGGAGACCAAAAACAGAGCTAGAAGAGAGACTTCCATTCATCAGACAGACACCAGAAGGACTGCAGTGGGATGATCACGTTGCTGCCCCCTAGTGGCAAAGAAATCAGTGAACAGGGGCGACCTTCATGACTTTTGACAGCGTGTATTTGTACTTCAGATACGTGGACACATTCCACTGCGTTTACTTTAGATTTTTCACTGAAAGCACATTTTCTAAAAGTAACTCCTCCTCAAAATATAAATTTGTTAATTGTAATCTAAATACATTTTCCATCCCTACAGTCACAGTTATTATTATTATTATTATTATTGTTAGTTTCCCACTTCAACCCAGCTGGGAGCAATGATTATAATTATGTAATTAGTTATTACGAATGTATCTACCTTCTGCTGTTTTTCTATGTTACATAATCTGGATATATCTTCCACAGTGAGTGTTTTATATTATTTGGGTTATGAATCAGCCATTCCTGAGGTTTTTCCCCCTCTCCCCACACATTACTGTGATGTCCTTTTTTATTCTAACTTGTTTAAATAAATAAAACTCAAACTCAAAACAGTTAAAAGCCCTTTTCTCCTCCTCAGCCTGGTTTCTCGGTCAGCAGTTTTTCCCCGTTTGTTTTCCTTCTTTCACACTAACTGCTTCTAATTAAAACTACCACTTCCATAATCTCATTACATGTAATCTAATCTGGACTCATTCAGACATTTACTGAAGAAAAAAAAAAGAAAAGAAAGATAGAAAGAAAAAGACATGAAACTTTTGGGTGTGTGATCATTTGTTTGGCCTCAGGATTTGGATCCGGTTCCCACGGTGAAAAAACAGCTGTGATTGATGTCTGAAAGCTCTGACTGTGTTTGTTTTGGTGAATTTGTTCAATCCTCGCAGGAATAATCTCTGAAATCAGAATGGAAAGTGGAAAGTCCAGTTTGTGTTTGCAGACTGACAGAGCTGAGGTCAAAGCGGTGCTGTGTTTGTGTGTGTGTGTGTGTGTGTGTGTGTGTGTGTGTGTGTGTGTTACAGATTATTAGCTCTAAGTAGAGGCAGCTGTTGATCGGTCACTAAGCCTCTTGTGTGGCAGTTTATATTTTTGTTTGAGCTTGAACCACATTTTAGTAATAATCTCAAGGTGATCTGAGTGGGTCAGGACGGAAGACACACCCCTTTTCTAAATGCTCCAATCTCAACCGAACAAGAGCAACCACAGACAACTTTCCTAAAGTAATTATTATTATAAATACAACTTGTCTTAACCCTATAAACATTGCAGGGTAATTGAATCACAGAAAGTTTCACTGGTAAGAATCAAAACTGGATTTCAGCTTTATTTCCTATGGAACAACGTCTTTTTGGTGTTTGATCTCATTTTGTCATTCATTTACAAAAAGGGGGAAGGGAGTCAGAGAAATCATGCAAACAAGATCGAGTCAGGATGGATTCAGAAGTCTTTCTGTTTTGCATGACTGTTTTTCCCCATCAGATTCTTTCAGTCACGTTACATCATGTCATGTTAGGAAATGATTATCGTCATCAGAAGGGCCGAGCAAGATTCAGTCTGTGTTCAGCTGAGGTTGACTTCATCTACAACTATCTTCAACCAATTGGGTAAAAATGAATTATTGTTTTTTCACTGTTAGAAACCCCGGGTTTATGATGTGGCACTGATTTTGGTACGTAGTCACTACAAGTTCACATACGTATTTCCACCCTGGAGGATTGGAGTTAAAAATATACTTTTTAAATCCAAGTTCCTTCAATCTACTTTGTGCACACATAGTTGAGTCAAGGGTTGCCTACATTTCCTGGGAATGACTTTGAACAACTCCGGAGAACAGGTCTGATGCTGCATCTTCGTCACTTTTGTCAAAAGGAAACACTAGTAATATACTGATAAGTGTAACAGTAATTTAGGTTGTGTTTGTGTGTTAAACAAATGGCAGCTGAAGGTCTCTCTGAAGTTGTCCATCCTCTGGATCCTGACAGATGTGAACAGAAAGTGAATTTGCTCGGGACTCTGGGTCATATTCACATTTATGTTTTTGTCCTTTACTGAGTCAGAGTATTTCAGCTCAGTCCAACTGATCCATCATATAAAAAACCCATAGTCTGTATTTCTCTATATATACACAGCATTGGATCAATCAGCACTCTGAACAGAGAGATGTCTCACTCTGACTCAAAACCGCTTTACTTTTAGTGACACACAACACGTCTGTAAGTTCATTCAGCTCCAACCTCCTCATCATCAGGATTTATTATCACGTCACAGAGTTAATCTAAATAGAGATAAACCATCAGAAATACAGGAAATTTGTTTTAGAGTCCTTATGCAACACTTGATTAGGTGTAGCTAACGTAATAAGTTAAGATAATAAACTGAACCACTGATACTGTGGAAGTGGAAGTGGAAGAGTGTGGATCTGAGCAACCACTCACAGGCTGAAGCAACCTCTGCAGGCAGCCAATCGTAGAAGAGGATCAACGCTACAGTGAGAGCGGACATATTGAGCCAAACATCCCACTGACTGGTAAGATCTGACTCGGGCACTGACGCTTAGCAGCAAACTGCAGCCAAACCTCAGCATCCCCACTACAGCAGCCATGTGTGATTTGGCTCATATTTGGTACTTTAGTTTCAGCATGGCCCTTTTACAGAGGCATGTTAAGTACAGGTTATGATTAATTATAGCAAAACTTGCACGTTATAGCTGTCATAACCAGTGAGACGGGGTAGGAGCAGATTCTCCCCGTCTGCAGTTTGTATTCACAATAAATAACTTCATTCATGATCTTTGATAATGACTCAAGGTGCTCAGGAACTCTTACAGACGTCTGTGTGATAAATGTAAAGGTGTCTTCACGCAATGAAACATCCCTCTGAGTTTTGGTTTGGACCGTAGATTTACATCCAGCAGGTTCAACACTGTTGGTCTTTGGGAAAAGAAGTTACAGTTTTTAGATTATTATTATAATTATTATCATTATTAAAGCTTTTTAAACTCTCAGGCACAAAAACCTATTTGGTGTTCATGTAATAACTGTGCTTTTACCCTCACTCATTTGAATACAAAGTGTATCGTAATGACACAGGACTATTTACACATCTGAGATTGCTTGTGAATGGATTCAAACTTGCATTGTGTAGCAAATATACTCTAGGAGACAAAACTTATGAGAGAGATGAGAAAGTCATTTTCAAACCAGAAACATTTGCCCTTTTTGGATTGTATGATGTTTGTGGCTCAGATGATCATACGTCACCTTTATATTCATCAGAAAGGCAAAACAACGGATGGAACACGATGCGGGAAATGTTCACCCTGAAAATACCAAGATGAGAAAAAAAACATGGATCCACTTTAACCCAAACACATTTTTAAACACATGCTGTGTCAACATCATATTTAACACATCTCTTTGTGAACTGTGGCATTATTTCTATAAGAAATCACATCCATAATCTCTTCAGTATTTCCCTTCTTTCTCCACCATCTTTTCTTCTGCCAACATCAGAAAAATTAAATTATCAAAACAAAACAAAAGTGCCCGAAGCATGATATGAGCAAGAAGATAAATATAATTTATGTTTCTGTTGTCCTTTCTTGTCTTTTGTTATATTTTTACAATACATACTCCTTGTCTTTTTATTTTGTTCATTTAGTGATGTAAAACTCGAGCGTCGTCCTCAGACGTTTGTGTTGCTGCTCGTTGTGCATTCTCAGTCTGTTTGCTTTGGTCGCGCCCTCCTTTGGCATCGCTGTTGCAAAAAGAAAAAAGAAACCGAGAAGTAAAGCTACAGACAGATCAGTCTGGATTTTTTGGTATTTCATTGTTTTTGTCCCGGTTTCAAGAAAGAGTTTTCTTTGGAGGGAAACCTATCGGGATTCCCTAAAGTCTCCAATAAATATCCTTTTCCAAAAAAACGTTAAGTTCATTAGTCCGACGCCTTCATCTGAGCGTTCTTCTTCTCTGCTGGAAAAAATGGATCTTTGGTTTGGTTTAATCAGGATTCTCTCCAGCAGGATGAATGTGGCTTTAATGTCTCTCCTCTTCAGAAGTCAGTCAGTCAGTCAAACTGTAAACAGTCAGATTATGTTCACACTAAACCAGCTAAATCTGAAAACGCTCAGAAACAGTCAGGTGCTTTTCCCAAACATCTCCATCCACACTGAAACGCCGACAACAGCAGCAACACCAGAGCTGTCCCCCCCCCCCGTGCTCAGCAGTGGCACTGTAATGTGTTTCAATACAGACCATCTCGCTTTTAGTTCAGTGTTTTTTGTTTCTGCCGTCAGACAACCGAACAAATCTAAAATACTGATTTGATTCTGGCTCATAAACGCTACCTGTTTACCTGCTGCTGAGACCACTACATCAGTATTTCCTGATCATGAAGTCATGTGACAAAATCAATATAAATACTGTTCTATCTCCGAGGGATTTGGAGGCGACAGAAAGATCGTCTTTTTAAATTTACTACCACACATCCTTTGACCGTAACTTAACAGGCTGCGGTAAAAGCAACGTAAAGCAATTTCTCATGTCTGTCACTCATTTCCCGCTCAGATTACGGTTAACCATTTTATCAAACTCCCAAACACGTGTTCCTACGGCTTATTCCTCCCCCTGTGGCATGCTTTGTGAAGTTAATATCCACAGGCAGCCGTTTAAATCACACAAAGCACCCGCTGTCTATATGTTGTGAACTCATTAACTATATCTATAAGTATTGATCAAGGCCTCCCACTTTCACTGTGAGCTTTCTGGTTTCACTACAGGCGTGTTATAGTGGACGGGGAAATAAAATCAATGGATCAATACATAAACACAATTCGGTTTTCTTCCTGTATACCCTAAGTGGAACCTACTGTAAAACTATATTCATCCATTGAATTTCTGATATCAGTTTGGTGAAGATAGTGTGTCTTCCTGCTGTCCTCTTCCTGGGACAGTGATGGCAAAACAAAGATCTGAGTTGGTGTTGACTGAACTGATTGACGCTTCAGTAGCACTTACATACCACTGGTGATGCTTTTCATATGAATTCCTAGTAAAACAGATTCAGATTGATTTTTTCTTTTTCTTTTAAATTTAATTTCCGTGGGACAAACACTGCGTCTTAGTGTGGATGGAGGGCCCAAACAGAGAGAAAAAGATGCGTTTTCAAATTTAGCTGCCTTAATGTGGCTGTGGTCTCAGTCAGTAAACGGTCCTGGGTTAATCCACCTCGATGGACTCGCTGCTCTCGTTCTGGTTCACTGGTTTACACTCGTTGGGAAGTCGCTGATGGCGGCTGAGCTGAGTGGCCTGTGTGAAGCTGCGGTCGCAACGCTCGCACCTATCACGCACACACATTACCAAAAGAGAAACACACAAATAAGATAGGTAAGAGACAGTTATTAGTTTAAGAGTTTGCATGTAGAGGAGGTCAGAAAAACACACTGTTGTACAGGAAAACAAAGGAACTTAAACAGGACAAACACACAGACACAACCTTCAGATCTGTCAGCACACATGTACACACACACACGCATACATACACCTCGCTGTTAACTCTAATATCCAGTGACAGTATAAAGTGTGTGTGAGGCCCAGCGGAGCAGCAAGCTGTAATTGTTGCCCTGATCTTCACAACCTGACCAACAAATTCACACACACACACACACACACACACACACACACACACACACACACACACACACACACGTCCGCCTGTCAATAATCTATCTAGTGGTCTGGTGAGGGTATTCCCATCTCACACACACTTTAGCACACACACTTTAACACACAAGCACAGACACATCCAGGCCTGATAAAGCAGAGTCACTGTCACTTTCAATAGAAAGAGAGAAGAGAGGGAGCTTTTAGTCTGAGCTAGAGGGGGGTTAGGGGGCAGTTAAATGTATATAAATGTGTGTGTGTGTGTGTGTGTGTGTGTGTGTGTGTGTGTGTGTGTGTGTGTGTGCATGGGTCTTCAAAGAGAAAGCTGTGTTGAGGTATTGGACCTAACAGCCCTGAAACAAGACTAACATGCTGTTAGATAGATAGGAAGAGGGGGAGGGAGGGGGGTGTTAGTTAGAGAAGGCAGGAGAGACACATTTCTTTGTACTGAAGCTCGGCCCATCGTGGACTGCACAGTGGGAGCAGTGCTTATTTGGACGCTCTTTAACTTGAGTTTGTGCTCATTAAAGCTAATTAACATGTTATAAACCAAAGTAAAGGGGTTAATGTCGACAGATGTATTAAACGTTGTGTCAATGGAAAACTGGTTAAAGCAGGTTTGATTGTTGCTGGAGACATTCTGACCATACGGACATTTGTTTAGAGTGATTTGGATTTAAGTTTGTCCAGTCATCATCCCTTGTTATCTGTACAGCTTTGTATACAACATAATTTAATCTTCTCGTTTTTTTGTTGTTTTTTTTTTTACAGTATTTCAACTGTAAAATGTTGAATTACATATATATATATATATAATACATTTTATCATCAACTAACACACTTTACCGGTTTGGAATATATCTGGTGTTCAGTGCCTGGTCACAGCAAGTGGCACAGCGAATTAATGTGTGCATGAATGACTGTATTTATATGTATTATATGTATTTATTCTAGCTTCCTCAATGTTGGACTCCCCAGTTCCCTCATAGGCCAGCATGGTCAAGACTGTTTGCTATTGGTCATTGACACAGCTCTGAAAGTCAAGCTTTGCTAAAGTTGAACTCTACAGTTTACTAACGATAGTTTGGTGAAGCTAGATGTGTTTTAAACAACCAATTTCATTAAATTTAAAATAGATGCAGTATTGAATGAATTTCCACAAACTCTGGTCTAGCTTTACTTAAATCAGGATAAGATAAACTGTAAGATCTTCCTATTACACAACTGATGTAGGGGATGTTATGACCTTGAATGAATGCCTCTGATAAAATACGTTGCTTTATTTTTTGGTAATTACATGAAAGGAAAGTACTGCAGTTTGTAAGTTATTATATTTAAACATGTGCGTGAGGTCTTGTAAACAGCAGCATTCATTCTGGAAAAACTTTTAGCAGATGGATGTTTTATTTAAGTCCTTCTCATTTTGTAAATTTTCTTACAGCACAAGAAAAACAAAACAGACCCCTGACTGTAGTGAACTGCTCTGCCCTCAAGGTGGTCGTTCCTGCTCTAATTCGTCTGTAAATCTACGAAACCACAACAGCTACCGACATCAAAGCTCCTCTGAAGATTCTCTGTCACAGAGACTTATCCACCAGGACAGACACGAAGACGGTTCTCAGGCAGAACAAAGAGTGGGGCTGAAACAAGACGGCTCAGTCCGCTGGCTATCGACCAGAAAGCGTCTGTTACTGGCCGCCTCCTTCTTTTCTCAGCGGGGAAAAATAACGTTGAGCACTTTGTCGTGACAAAATGACATAGGCAGCTTTAATCACTTTCCCTCAAGGATCAGTGAAGTTTCAGTTCACCTCCTATCTTACTCCCTTCTATAAAAGGGGACAGAATGGGAAGTAAAGTACAGATTGTATTCAGTCACACATTGATAGAACTGATGGGGCCAGAAAGAGGCAGAGAGACATGTACAAGAAACCTTGGTAAGTGTGTTTGTGATAAACATCCAAGACTGGCCAAGCACACATTAGACTTGTTGTAAGTTCTGCTGAATATTGTTGATGTTACCAAATCAGTAATGGGAAAGTGATGCTTGTAGTGCCGAACCCACTGAGAATTAACACCCAACTGTGTAGGCAAATACAGCTTATAGCTCTTCAAAGTCCCTCATAGCTTTGGTTGTGCGGCTACACTCATAGCCCTCTGGCTCTCACTAAACTTCCATATCCTATTTTAAACCCACTGTACACTGTACTCCTTTTAGGTGTTTTCTTTTGTGCTATATGTGAATGTTGTAAATTGTGTTCTCTTATATGACAATGTGTAAATAAAGGCTCTCTTGTAAAAGAGATAATTTATCTCCATAAATTTGGGAATAGTCTGGATGTGGATGTGTGCAGTTGTTTGTTAGCCCTTACAACTTAATAGAATGAATATGAAGAATATAATATATTATATATATAATATATAAACCACACTGCAGCCTGCCAACAAGTTAGCATGTGTCTTCATCTCATGGTCCTTCTGAATCCTGATTTTGTCACAGCTCGGCATTGATGTTTAGAAACTCAACTGTGAACTGTGTTGAGTCTCAAAACATCCACAGTGAGGTGGCGTGAGAGATCTCTCACTGACTTACAGACTTATTCACAAATTAACACTGATCTAAAAACCAAAGAAAATAAAGTAAACAATAAGTAAATAGAAACCAGAAGCATCTCATTAAATCTCTTATATCTAATTAGCAAACAAACCATATTTTGCTTCCTTCAGTCTTCAGGAGGATACACAAGTTGTGATGTTGCAAATGCTTTATTTGCAGAGACTGAATACAGTAGAACAAAACAGCAGCAGCAGTTTGACAGTCTCCACAGTCCAGCGAGTATCAGTGCTGAAAAGCTGCCGACCACACAGAATCCCTGCTCCCATCTCCTCAACGGGAAAATAAAGTTGAGCGTTTTCCTCCTGACAAAGTGACAGTGGCAGCTTTAATCTATTCGCCGCACCGTCCAAAAGGAGATAACTCCCCGAGGCCATCGATCTACTAAAGATTTCTGACGCTCGTCCATGATTGTCTTTGTCCCGCTCTGCCTCCACCGAGACTCTGAAGTGCTGATGAAAAGGTTCGGGGTTTCCTCCGATTGCTTATTAAGAACGCTGATTTGCTTTAACCGGATTTCTCGCCGGAGCTTGTCTTTTCACTTTTTACATTGTGATCTCTTGTTCTTCCACGCTCTTCCTCTCATTTTCTCACTCGTTCTTCTTGCCCTTCACTCTCTACGTCAATGACAAGTTCGGATTTTTCTGATTGCTTATTAAGAACATTAATTTGTTTCCCCCGGCTTTCCCCTGATACGTGTCCTGTAGATTTCCCACAACTCAAATCCCTTATTTTGCTTTCTTCGCTTTCTTTAGTATCTCTTACTCTTTCCCCCTTTCCCCTCTGACGCCCTCCTGCCCTCTCTGTGAATGCTGACCTCTGTGTCCACTGGGGGAATCTTTATTGTCCTCCACTGCTGACAAGATGACAGCATGACAAAAGCAGCTTCAAGAAACTCCTAATTGCAGTTAGGCTTGCCCTCTAATTATATCAGTCCTCACTGAGTAAAAAATGGAAATGAGCAGTCTCAGTGTGCAGAGATTCATTACCATGCCGCTAACTGCTGTCATGGAGCTGCTTCTACATTTACACTGAACGAAGTGTGCATTTCACTGATCCTCTCATCCACAGTGATTTACAATGAGCAAAACACAAGAACAAGCGGAGATTTTCCTCGATGGCCAACATCACAGGAAGTCATTAGTAAGGCGAGCAAAGGTCAGAGGTCACAGCAGCCATGACAGAAGATGGAACAAAATATTCACGTATACAGGGGAAACATGAATAATGGAAAAGAGCTACAAAAAGAAAAAAGGTCCAAGAAAGGCAGAGCTGATGACTTTTGGGGTCATAAACCGAATTCTGACCCCCACCCTCACCTCTTTTGTGTTGCAGAACCAAAATTTCCAGAAGGAAAATGGAACTAAAATAAAATCCAAATAACAGTAATCAAAGTTAAATTTCCCAAATGACTCACTCTTATTTATTTTATCAACACAGTCAGCAAATGCCATTCACATTAAAAGGAATCCAGGCTGCCTTTGACCCTATAAGTTGATCAATGATGGATCACTAAGCTTTATATTGTATGTTTTAGATGTCATCCTCCCACAACTTCACGTCTTGTAACCACAGATAATATCGTAACAAACACAAACCAAGAGCTAATATTAGATATGATGAGATTTGCAACGAGATAACAGTCAGGGCTGTGCTTTTCCAGACAATCGTGAAACCAAAGCTTCTTAGAAGCAATGTGTGAAGTATTATTTTGGGTTCTTAACCATAAATGGCATCATTATGGATGAAATTATTATGGACAATTTCCTAATATGCAACACTTTAACATTATCATAACGATACGACAAATCTGAGGAAATACCAACATAGAAGAATGACGCTGCACTGGTTGTATTTGGATCAATTAAAACAAATGACATGGATGTTTTCCTTTTTTGAAACATGGTCTTTGTAGAAAAAGTGACATTTCTAGGAGCAAGGATGCTAGCAGATGATTGCTAGGGTGTCAGGAAGTAGTAATGAGGGTGTCAGTAGCTGTTAGCTGGGTGTCATATGTAAGTGAAACTGGTCAGCCCAGCCAGAATCTGCAGCAGGCAGGAGGGAGCAGAAGGTTGGGTGGGTTGAATGGGTGGGGGGTACTCACTGTTACTTACTTGAACGGCTTCTCCCCGGTGTGCGTGCGGATGTGGTTGTTGAGTGTCGTGGCACCAGCGAACGCACGGCCGCAGTATCCGCATTTGAAGGGTCGGTCGCTTGAGTGCGTCACCACGTGGTTCCTCAAATCTGATGGCTGAGAAAAGGACTGGGAGCAGTGGCCGCACTGGTACGGTCTAAAAGAGAGATGTGAGAAAATAAGGGTGGGGAGTGTATGTGCAGTCCAGGGTCTTTCCAGGCCTTGTAGTGCAGAGCTGGTGTCATGATTGTGGTCTTGGTGACACCTGAAAGTCAAAGAAGCTTTGCAGAATTTGTATGTACGCTAAAATTTGTTTTTACAGTAAATCCCTAAGTGGGATTATAATTGTGCTACCAGACTGAAATAATTAAAAGACTAATTAGTAATTAGTACAACACAGACAAAATATCTGCCTGTATTGGTACATTTTATATTGTATGTCTCTATGCTGTTTGTGTGTAGCGAGGATACTTGATAGATATTTGTGGAACACTGTAATTATGTTTTTATTCTCTGACTGGTGTATTTTTTTTCTTTGAGCTTGTGCAGAACACAGACAGACAGACACATGTACAGTACATACACAGAAAGACATGTCTGCACACAACTACAGATAATTAACCACACAAATAAAACATAGAAAAAGACATACAGGGATACAAGCACACATTAAGACACAGAAATAGAGAGGGAGGAGGAAAGTAACCACAATGTAAGGTCTGCAAACACAGATAAACTACACACACACACACACACACAGGGCAGGGGGAGTTGGACACTGCTCCAGTAACCATGGCAGCCTGACCCTCATCAACAATGCAGGCCAAGATCATGACTGGACCATCTATCACTGCGTGTCTGTGTGTGTGTGTAGTTAGAGAGAGTGAGATAGAGACAGTAACAGAACAAGAAAAGAAGATAGAGATAGATATAAAGAGATTGTGAATGTGTGTGTGTGTGTGTGTGTTCGGCCCATATGGGAGCACACAGTGGGAGTGAATCAGACTGAAACAAACAACCAAACAATAGCTGTGTGTCTGCTAATAGAGTGTCCTGCTTCCATACAGCAGCAGATCTAATCTTACACTGTTTTCTATTTATTGAGCTGAACACAGTCTGCTGCTTTCATTATCTAGTTATTTTGTTTTAACTTACAGGACACTTCCAACGCGATCACAGTCTCCGCTCATATCTTGCACCCCCTCTCTGTTTTCTCATTATCATTTTTCCAGCTTCTATCCCGTTTGTAGATTCTTAATCAAAAATATTATCCAAACAGGCAGCAATATCCAGTTTTTAAAAAATTGAAATCAATTTCTTTCTTATTTGATATAACAGCATTTATGGAATGAAATACCACGTAAATACGTACAAGTAAAAACTAACTAATAGCTGATTATATAAACATCAGTTATATAAAACTGTAAGGCAATAAATGTAATGAAAGTACTTCTTACATTACATCTGGTGGACTTCCATCATCACTGTCTTCACTACACTTACCATTAATCTTAATTTAATACAATTAAAGACAAAACACTCAATAATAATAATAATACAATAATGTGTAATCTGTAATTGAGCTTCAATCTTTATCCTTTCAATTCCATAAAACTGAATTCACTTCTTCAAGAATTATTCTTTGTTTCTGAAGGATGAACTTTTATTATTGTTAATTATGTTTTATTCAAAGATGTTCTTTCATTGAACAGCATTTTCACTTTATAATCTTTATAAATGTAAGCTCCAATCACCATATTTCACAAGGTGTATGTAGGAGTGTCTTTCTCCACATATTATGTACAGCTCTTGCTTATATATATCCATCTGAGACATATATATACACACATACATGTCTTTACTTTACCGTTTATCACTGTGTATCACTGCTGTATTACTGTTAGTTAAAATGTCTCGGCAGTGGTGCGACCAGGACAAATTTCCAGTGTGCTGCCTGTAGTCAGAAAATAAAGTGATTCTTATTCTGAAACCATTAAGACAAAACTCTGACATCAGTACCTTACAAATAGGTAAACACCCCAGAACTAGAATAAAACAAATAGACCAACATCTTCACCACTCCGATAAATCACAAACACCTACTGTACCCTGAAAGGATCTAGACGGAACACACAAACACACACACACACACACACACACACACACACACACACACACACACACACACACACACAGAGGAAAGTAATAAGAGTAAAATAGTGTAATATAAAATCGAAAAATTCTCACTTGCAGTTTTCCACATAAAAGGCGTCTCGCCGTGGGGGTCGGTTCATTTATCAGCCGGCTGGTCTATAAGTTCACGCCTCAGTGGGCCGCACCACTATTTATTAGGTGGGTTTTCTATGAAGAGCTGCATTGATTGTGAATAGTTTAAGTTGATGAATGTGTGGATATTATTTATTAAGGCAGCAGGCCGGGAGATTAATGCCCGGTTATTGTTTATTACAGTGGAGAGAGGAGGAGGAGGAGGTGAAGCGTAAACACCTCCATCACGCACGCACGCACACACACACACACACACACACACACCACACACACACACACACACACACACACACACACACACAGGTATGTACATATTCAAACTAAATATTTGCACACACAAGCACATGCAAATATGTTCTTGTGCATAAATGAAAAAACTCTGCAAACCGTTGCTCACAATTACACATGCATGAATTGGTTTAGGCATTTGCACTGAATTAAAGTAAAAAGTAACATGAGCCTCTTAAACACACGTTCTAGCTGTAACCATGACAAACAAGCAGGACAGGAAAACATCCTCACCATCTCAAGTTTAGTCATATTTCTCACCATGAGGACAATGAGCCTCCTTTGTGGCACAAATACAAAAAACTATTCGGTACTTAGGCCATGTTTATATTATTAGCACTGTATGAAAAAATCTGTCCCCTCATTCATTTCAATGAGATAACTGCCACCACAGGATCCTGACTCAGAGGGCTTCAGTATAAAACAAGGAAATAGAACCTGGATCAACTTTAGCCACAACGTCACCTATCAATACACTGTGCTGGTCAAATACAAGCAGGCACCCATTCCTGGTAAATTACTTTATAAGGAAGTCAACGTAATTCTACAGTTTACCTGTTGATCATAGAGACGGAGGATAACATTATTGTCTCTAAGTAATACAATAGAATGAGCTCAAACCCATTGTTCTGTTGTTCAAACCAGACAATGTGGATCACATTTCATCTTCTCACAGGTAACTCAACGCCCAGTTTCAGCAATACAGCAAAAGAGAAGCCACAAGTTTAACAGAACTAACAAATATTTTCTTTATCTTTATTGCATATATTATTAAATGTCAAAAAATAATGGAAAACCCCCATTATAATTTCCTAGAACACAAGGTGACATCTTTTAATGTCTTGTTTTGTGCAATCAACACCCCAAGCCAAATTAAAAAAAATAGATGTAACAGGAATGAAGCAAATCCTCTCATTGGAGAAAGCACGTTTGAAAAACGGCTGAATAGATTATCAATAAAATTGTCAATCATTTTACTTGAATAGATTAGCTGATAGTAATCTACGAATCAACTAATTGTTTCACCTCTTTTTTAACTTATATCTTCTTATAACTGAGGATTTAAAACCCTCTCTGTTTCTTTAGAAACAAACCTGCTCCTCTTGCGAAGTTGTACTGTACAGCTAACTGAGCAGCATCTCTCTTGGTACCCGTTAGCCTTATGCAGTTATTCAGTCTGACGGTGTTACAGTCTGTTGACAGCACAGACAGCCACATATGTTCAGAGTCAACACCGCAACAGGCTAACAAAAACACAAACTAGACGCTTTGATTCGGTTCACAGGGAAACTAATAATACTTGGTCTGGATGGGCGATGAGAGTAGAACCGGCTGCCATATTGTTCTCACTTAGCCTCGTTTGTGTGTGTGTATGTGAGATCTATAAAATTAGTCATTTTCAACATGTCTGTGAAATGCGGTTCAGGACAATAAACCTTGTGTCGCTTTTCAACACAACATGTGGTAACAACAACAGAGTCAATGTCAACGTGTCGCTGCGTCTACACCTTTAACACATGAGCTGATGAAAGAGACAGAATGTGTGTGTGAGACCCAAACTGTATGTCAAGCAGCTCCTCACTGCTCAAATTATTAAGACTACATGGGAATGAAGTTTCTTGGCAGACATACAAGTTTTCCTTTCATCAGAGGGAGGTCCGAGGTCAAGAAGGTGCTCATGAGTGGGAAAAGCATGGGGGGGTTAGTTATTGAAGAGTTTAAAACTGCTGCCCACCGACTATAGGGGAAAAAAAACAGAAAACTACACCAACAAATGGACGTCTGTGCCCACCAACTCAATCAGATCACTACACAACAATTTCCTTGTGAATTCATAATGAATGCCTCTATAAATGTAGTCCAAACACAGGAAATGAGAGAAGGGAGCAGGGCGCAAACAAAATTTTTTGTTCACCTGTTGGGTTAAAATTGTACCAGCCAGTCAAAAGATTACCATTGCTTTGTGACTGGTTAGTGACGCAAGATTGCATATTTTACCAGCATTTGGCTGGTGCTATACTTTGTGCCCTGTTAAGTTACATTTGACCAAAATAACACTGTCATATATCTAATTTAACTAAAACAAGTGAAGAACTGCTTGCAACATAAATGGATCTTTTGGGAATCAAGAGTCATTTTGTTGACTGATCCGGTCTGTTTCAAGACATTCACACTCATTTCTAGCTAAGGATAAGGCTACAGTTTTCTTTAAATGAACAAAACCAAAAAAGACAGCAAAAAAAACATAGTATTTTCTGGTAAAACACATAAAATCTAACTCATTATAAACTGTAAGGTGAGAGGTAAAGATAACTTCTAGGTGAGTATAAACAGCCTCTAATGGGGCTACAAACAGTTGTAATAATTGAAACAAAATAACAGAACATGTACTTTCCTCTTAAAAAAAAGGTATGTTATCAAAAAGTAGCAGAAGTAGAGGTTGAACTATAAAAAATAAATAAAACAAAACAACAGCACTGCGTCACGAAATAACTGCAATAGGCCTCGTAGAGAAGTACATTGATGTGAGGTAAAAAAAAAAGATTCTTGGCAGGAAGAGTTTTTGTTTTTTGAGCTTGATTT